TCAAAAAGCCCAACGGCAAGTGGAGAATGTGTATTGACTTCACCAACTTAAATGAAGCGTGCCCCAAAGATCCACATCCCTCACTAATGTTGAGAAACTGGTAAAGCGGGCAACGGGGCATGAACGCATGAGCTTTCTTGATGCTAGTTTGAGGTATCATCAGGTTCAACTGCTGTTAGATGACCAAGAAAGAATGGCATTTTACGTAGGGGATGCAATTTACTGTTACATAATGATGCCGTTTGGCTTGAAGAATGCTGGCGGGACATATCAAAAATTGGCCCAGGCATCTTTAAGCTACATATTGGCCAGAATATTGAAGTATATGTGGATGATATGATTGTAACCAGCCTGCGAGCTGAGGACCATGTTGACGACCTGAAGGAGACATTTCAAAATTTAAGGCGGGCTTAGATGAAGCTAAACCCGTTGAAATGCACGTTTGCTGTGGAATCAGGCAAATTCCTAGGGTATGTGGTATCCAAGAAGGGAATTGAGGTGAACCCAGACAAGGTTGAGGCCGTGCAGTAAATGGAATCCCCTAAAACAATAAAGGATGTGTAGCGTTTAACATGTCGTCTAGCCGTTCTGCACAGATTCATCGCCAGTTCGACAGAAAAGTGCCTTCCATTCTTCAAAGCTTTGCGGGAGCCAAAGAATTTCCAATGGACTGATGAATGCCAACAGGCTTTCGAGCAGCTCAAGCAGTATCTAGCATCACTACCTCTACTCTCTAAGCCTATTGAAGGGGAGACATTATATCTATATCTGGGGGTTGTAGATGAGGCACTCAGTTCAGTCCTCTTGAGAGAGCAAGACAAACAACAGAAACCCATCTGTTACACAAGTAAAGTCTTGCAGGGTGCTGAACGGAATTATCCAATAGCTAAAAAGGCTGCCTTTGCACTCATCTACACTGCTTGAAAGTTAAGAGCATACTTTCAATCCCATGAGATTGTTGTCTACACCGACTTGCCACTGAGAAAGATATTGCAAAAGCTGGAGTTGTCTGGTTGGCTGATCGTATGGGCGGTCGAGTTGAGCGAATATGACCTCAAATTTCAACCGCGCACAACCATTAAGGGCCAAGCTTTAGTAGATTTCCTGGTAGAATGCAGACAGACGGCTGCAGAAGAAACCACGCCGCCGCACTCCATGTGGGCTCTGTATGTGGATGGGGTAGCCAATGTTGAAGGATCAGGAGCGGGAGCAGTGCTATTAGGTCCGAATGGCTTCCAATCTGAGCATGCCCTGAGGTTTAAATTTCAGACAACGAATAATGCTGCTGAATACGAAGCACTCATTTACGATCTGAAGTTGGCGTCCGAGTTAAAAGCACAGAGCTTAAGAGTCTTTAGTGACTTTCAGCTTGTAGTAAATCAAGTAAATGGAAGCTGTGATATCAAAGACCCTTAGCTCGGTCGATACCTGTCTATAGTCAATAAATTGAAGTCAAGCTTTATCTCATTCCAAATTGACAAAATACCGAGGGTAGATAACCGACGAGCTGATGAACTATCAAAGTTAGCCTCCTCATAGGACATTAACCCTTAGAGGACCACAGTAGTTGAAATGCTAGACACACTGAGCTATACTAGTCTAGTAGTCGAGTGCCAAGTACTGAGCACGGACCCCTCCTCATTGAGCTGGACTACACCTCTAATTAAGTACTTACAAACTGGTGAACTACCAGAGGATCCATCTGATGCTCAGTTGATCAGGCGTAGAGCGGCACATTTTACACTGATTAAGGATCAGTTATACAAGCGAGCAGCTTTAATGCCTTTGTTGCGCTGCCTCACTCCTTATGAAGCTGAATATGTTGTAAGAGAAGTTCATGAAGGTGTGTATGGCACACACATGGGAGGAAAAACCCTGGCTAGATAGATCTTAAGGCATGGATACTATTGGCCTACCATGGTTCAGGATGCACAAAATTATGTCAAAAAATGCCTAACTTGCCAGTTCAATGCTGATGACATTCACATGCCAGCTGAGAGGCTATCATCCCTCGTATCCCCTTGGCCCTTCGCTCAATGGGGAGTAGATCTGCTCGGCCCTTTTGTAAAAGGCAAGGCAGGTTGCACACATCTTGTAGTTGTTGTGGATTACTTCACTAAGTGGATCGAAGCCAAACCACCCTCCACAACGACTGAAAGGAAAATAGAAGAGTTCCTCTTTAATTCCATACTATGTAGGTACACAGTTTAAAAAACACATGTAATATACACATAAGTGTTCGTGTCTTAGTCAGTGCATTTGTACACAGGTTTGAAATTCCTATACGAATAATTGCTGATAACGGACCTCAATTTCGAGTAGCAGCCCTGAGGTCGTTCTGTAACGACTATAACATCGAGTTGACCCTCACGTCTGTATACACGCCACAGTCAAATGGGCAAGCTAAGTCAGCAAATAAAATCATTTTACGGGGTCTCAAGACATGAGTTTTAGCGGCGCAATCTAATTGGGTTGACGAGCTCAACAAAGTTCTATGGTCATGTTGCACCACGCCCAGCTCGGCCACGGGAGAAACCCCATTTTGCCTCACCTATGGAGTTGAGGTCGTAATCCCAATGAAGGTTGGTTTGTCATCCAATGGGTCAGCTCGTCCTAATAATCATGATAATGACCAAATTTTGAGAGAAAACCTAGACTTTGTCGAGGAGGTTAGGGAGATCTCTCGTATAGAAAACATGGCCTATTAGAACTGTGTGGCTAGATTTTACAATAAAAGGGTCCAAGGTTGGCAATTTCAAGTTGGTTACTTGGTTTTACGCAAGGCTGGACTCACTAATGCTTACTCACATATGGGAAAACTCGCTTCGAACTAGGAAGGTCTTTATATGGTTATTTGTGTTAAGCGACCTAGGTCTTACCAGTTAGCAGATCTACAAGGTCGTTAGTTACCATTCATTTGGAACATACATAACCTTAGAAAGCTTTACAGTTAACATGTATGTTATTATCTTATCAATAAACTGTACATGACAATGTAAAGAAAGTACACAACAATAAATATAGAAATTTCAAAGGAAAATCTTCAAATTTGTATTTCCATCAATGTTCTTTACATTTGAAGTACATGATGAATGGGTTCACTGACCAATACAAAAGCACAAAAGAAATACAAAAGAAACAAAGAAAATCCTAAGCTAATCATCCATCAGGTCGAAGGGATGGACGCATTAGTACGCGCAGCAGCAGATCGAGCAGGAGATGATCGATTTGGAGGAGAGAGAGCAGGAGCAACAGCAGGCTAAGAAGATGGGGGAGTGCTGGAGGGCTTAGCAAGTACCTCTTGGGGCTCTGCCACCTAAGCATCAAAGCTTGGCAACCCCTCGGTGTCCTCCCCCTCTTCAACAACAGAAGGGGGCCACACTGGCAACCCCTCTTCATTTAGCTCCCATTTCAGCTTCACCCGGGTGTCAGTTGGAGGGGCGAGGCTCTTCCCTTGTTCATCCATCTCTTCACCCTCAAAGAAGGCCAGCTCGTCGATTGGGAAGTCAGCTCGATATCGCAGCACCTTCTCACGAATCTCGTTGAAGATGTCTATGGTGGTGTTGGCTGAGGCAACTACGACGGCGTCCTAGTACATGTCTGCTCCAACCAGCCACTCAGCTCCTTGTGCCCGAGCAAAGCAAATAGCGCGCTGGTGGTGTTTCCTACTTTGCTCCAAGGACGCCTCAGCGCAGGCGACGTGCTGGTTAGCTTCCACGACCCTCTCTTTCAGGGAGTTCA